TTTCAAATTAACTAATTAAACACATTATAGTTGATAAAAAAAATTGTATCTAGTAGTTACCGACAAACAGATGAGCTCGCTACATGTGCGTTGCGCTAATAATTTGACATTTGCTCTTCTTGAGAAAGTGCTACAGCGGGCCCTGCTATTTCACATATAAGGTTAGTGATACGTATTTTAAATTAGTATTGCACATTATTCATTCATTTTCTTGTCGGCTTAGTCCCTTTATTAATCTGGGGTCGCCACAGCGGAATGAACCGCCAACTTATTTAGCAAGTTTTTACGCAGCGGATGCCCTTCCAGCCACAACCCATCTCTGGGAAACATCCACACATACACACACACTTATACAGTACGGACAATTTAGCCTACCCAATTTACCTGTACCGCATGTCTTTGGACTGTGGGGAAAACCGGAGCACCCGGAGGAAATGCACGCGAACGCACTACACTACTGAATTAGACACACAATCTCAAAAAAAAAAAACTTGATGCTTATTTACATTATCTAAAGTCATTTCTTACGAGGTAGGATCTGTTGTTGTATTATATATTTTCGTTTTAATATGCAAATAATTTTCTTTAATTTGTAATAGGCCTATTGTCCCTCATTGCATAAAATAACCAGCCTTTGTATTCAATATGTTTGTAAATTGTCCATCCAGTTTGACGCAAGCTAAACAACATTTTGGCCTGTTTTGCTTATTAAATGAGTGATTTTCACGGAGAAACAAATCATCCATCCACACAGTTTTGTATAGGACCCGTGTGAACAAAAATATACACTTCATCATAGCCTATAGGAAAATGTATCTGTTTAGAACCAATTTTTTGTTGTATAATTAAAAATATTAAAAATACAATAAAAAAAGGAATAACATTTGAAGTGCAATGCTTCAAAGATCCAATACGCTGCATGCAGAGCCAAAACAAAAACTGGTTTGTTTGTTTAATAAAATAATAATATGAAACTAAAGTGAAATAGTTCCATAACCTGTATTATAACTGTAGTCACTCTAGATGACACATCATCCGTTGCGCCGGTCAGTTTCACCTTTAATCAAGAATGTGCCAGAACCAAATGAGAATATTTACAGATTACCTCGGAATGAGACCTCGGTCTGTGAAGGATGCAGAACGCAGAAACTCGTTGAGAATGGAGATGCATGTTAGATGTTTTATATCCCTTTAGATATTGTAAATAAACAACAAGTTTTTATAGAGATTGTGTCATGTCTTTTCTTTGACGCACGCGGTGAACAGCCCCGAAAAGGCGCCTTTATTTAGCCTGTAGCCTAAATAATAGTTTAGATTTTATAACATATAATGTTCCATTACTTTAAATGTATAATGTTTTTTAATATTTATGGATTATATAAAATATATAGTTTATATAAATGCGCTCTGATCATTCAAGGATCATAATGCGTTGCATATTCTTCTTATTCTTCATTGATCCTTAAATTGTGTAGCTATATTTTATAAACTGATCGTTTATAAGGACTAAGCTTTTAATAACTGTAATTCCTCGAATGGAAAAGTCTTGATTAAAGAAAAAGAGAACTTAATTCGACATATGCATATAGTGCGCTTATTTCTGCGCGCATCGCGCGCTTTACCGAATTATCTTTTTTATTTTTTATGCATTATAAATGCATCTGGCAGCACCGAAAAGAGCAAATGCCAAGTTATTAGCGCAGCGCACAGACAGCTAGCTCATCTAGTCTGAACCAGGGGTTTTCAAACTATTCATTGCACACCGATCCCATTGCATTTTATTTAGGATAAACCACTTATTTAAAATTAATTAATTAAAAGGTGCGTACTCTCCAATACACCACTGAATTATAGTGTCATAATATTTAATAATTATAATTAAGATAGACACCTGACCTCCATTTAATAAACAATTTATTTGCCATACTCTGTTAATTTGAAGTTTAAAGTTTAAATCATTTATGTTAAACTTAAATTATTTAAAAACTTAAAAAGACTTAAATTTAGTCATTTAAGACATTTTAGGTCATAAGTTTACATACATTGACCGTTGCATTTAGTATAGGCCTATTCTGGTCTAAATAAGCTTTTTGCATCTTAGGTGTTTACACACACAAATTAAGCAGTTTATACGTACATTTAATTTTACTTTGAAATTACTTTTGATGCAATAAATAATCCTAAATAGTTGAAAGTGTTAACATATTCTTGAAATGTAGTTATTTTATAACTATGAAATTTATTACTAAACAAAGTGAATCATTATGAATTTGCCAAGAAATAATCCACTTTACCACCGTACAGCCATGCCCCACACTCACTAGAACGGAAGAACCTGGACTGTATGATATGTTCTGTATGTAAAATAGAGAAAATAAGCAAGATGCGCAGTCTCATGCAGCCTTAGTGAAATATAGCGCGTCACAGCAATGAACTAAAAATAAAACCACCCTTGAAATGCTGGCGATCTTAATTTTTTCAGCTTACACTGACTGAGAATAATGTTGCACTATTTTATTAACAAATAATTAGAATGTTTTTTTCCCTTCAACACATTCATCATTACTTTTGCCTGTGCAAGTTTTTTTGCGCGCGCTTGAGCGCGAAGGCATCTATTTTCAGGTGCAAGATGCCACTTTGGGTGGCACCAGCACACTCTGCCACACCTGTGGCTATGTCCCTGCTACAATAATAATAACAACAACAACGACAAAATAATAACAAAAAAAAAAAAAAATAATAAGACAGGCCTACTTTGACGTTGCAATAAAAAAGTATTAATTATCAAATAAATATTTACAATAGGCTAAAGGCATATATTAAATTAAAATAGGAGAAAATCCAATAGAAACAAATGGTACCATTTATTATAGCCCCATGCAGGGTCCAATGTGTTCTTACAACCATTGAATAACTAAGTAAATAATAATAATAATAACAATACTAATAATAATAGGCCTAATAATAATAATAATAATAATAATAATAAATTATTATTTTATACAGAGTAGGCTATTATTTAGGCCTACAATAGCTCTGAAACAATCATGCAAACCAGGTGCTGCTCGGAAATGGCTATCTTTGCTCAGCATCAGGTGCACAGCAGCAAGAAGCTTGGCAGTGAACTATGACCTTATTTTAATGACAAATGTCTATGAATACTGCTGATTTACGTTTTTATTTAATTTATACATACGCAATGAATGTAAGCCTGCTAACTGTGTGTGGTTCAAATGATAGAATATGTAAACTTAGTTAATATATAATTAAATAATAATAATTAAAAGCCTGTGTGTAAGGCTTTTATTTTGAGGGTGACGTCACGAGCGCAGATTTGGTTAACCAATTGGAGGAAAGTGGGCGTTTCAGCACCGCCTACATGTGTAAAATGAATTTTAAAGTCGTTTATCCGTTTTCCTACCCTAAACCAAAAAACGAAAATCCAGCCAAAATCTCGTTTTTTCGTTTTCTCGTGAGCAAAAGAAAAACGGAAAAACGGCCGTTTTCTCCATTTCCTTTATTCCGTTTGAAAATGGAAAACAAATGAACAAAATGTACACGGACCGTACACGGACCATTTTTTGACTCATTATTTCGTTTTGGTTTTGTGTTTGTTTTAATATTTCGTTTTAAGTTAATAAGCAGAATAACAGATGAGTTTCCGTTTTTTCTGCCTACAGAATAAACAGAAAAACGAAATATTCATCGTTTTTCTGATGTTTCGTTTTCCGTAATAAAAGGAATAATCAAATGAACGGATGATACACGGACCTAACATGAACATGCGTGTAATTTAAGACGCATGCGCGGAGACGACTTCTTTAGATGACAAGTGTGGAAAACATGTAAAAAAAAAAAAAAACGTCATGAGCAGGTAAGTTTCAGGTCTGCTCATTGGCGTTGTTCCCTGTTGCTTCCCATAACTTTACAACGTTGAAGTAAATTGTTTTGACCATATGTAATGTCGTAGAAGTCATTAAATGCTCATGTAGATTTGTTAGATTTGAGGAAGCTGACAATCAACAGCATTCAATCGATAGCCTGTATGTTTTTGTGCGTTTAGACAAGCTATAAACCTGAATTTTCCCGCAAAATTCAGCAAGACACCTTAAAACATTTAAATAACATTAAAGGGGCAGCAGAAGACAGTAAAAAAACAATATAAAGTACTAAATAATTGCATTTTAAAACAGCAGTGAGATTATTTCTAGAAATATTGAAAATTGAGACTTTCCTGGTTTTTGGTTGTTTGATGACAGTCACAGATGAACCTGATTACACCACCAGAACACCTGCATTAATTTAAAGGGATAGTTCACCCAAAAAATTACATATCGTTCAACACAAAACACATTAGGCCTACTATGGGGAAAAAAATGCTACTTTTCCCCCAGCATTCTTCAGTAGCCTACAGTACACTACCTGACAAATGTCTTGTTGCTAATATCTAAGTTTTAGAAACAACAATTAATAACTTGACATCTAGTTGATCATTTGGTATCAGAAGTGGCTTATATAAAAGGCAAAGGCCTCTAGATTATGCTTATTTTACCATTTCTGTGAGAATAGATTGGGTCTATGCAGGTACAAATAGGTTTTTTTGATGATTAGGATGCAGTTCAACAAATGATTCATCAGAAAAATCTACCCTCTGCCACTTTTCCAAATGATTAACTAGAAGTCATTTGTTGCTCTTACATCTGGGATCAGTGACAAGACTTTTATCAGGTAGTGTATCTCACATTGTACTCAACAGAAGAAAGAAACTCAAACAGGTTTGGAACATGGTGAGGAGTAAATAAGGGCAAAGTTTTCATTTTAGCATAATTTTTAGTACTATCCCTTTAAGAAATTACTTTGTACATCCAGGACCACCACCAAAAATAAACACACTGGTTAAAAGAAATTGCAAATAAAAAAATGAGTTAAACGATGAATAGACTTAAACATTATTTGGCTGATTGAATACTTTTGATTAAAATTAATCAAAAGATTTTTTTAAAAAAAACAATGTTTTTATTGTTGACCATAAAAACTCCATATGAGACTTACAGAGAAATTTTGAGGATTGCTCCCAGAAATTATCCTTTAACATGAAGATCAGATGAAACACATAAAGAAGGTTCTTTTTATCCACACAAAATACTCCAATGTCTGTATTCAAAGAGTTTATAATACTATGTCCAAGTCTCCTCTTTGCATCAGAAGCGTAGCTGCCGTGATTCTTCTTTGATTTGCTTGATTTATATTTCCTCACGCAGTTATTTCGTCCAAAGTAGCACATTGTACAGCACCAGAGCAAACGTCAATGAGTAAACAGGCATCAGTGTGTTTGTCCGCCAGCTGGTGGCGCTGTTGCATAGATTAGAGTCGCAGCAGTGGATGTTCACTCCCGGTAGCTCCTCCGTGTGGCAGTGTCGAGCTGTGGCGCATCCGCTGGTCAGCATCACTCCCAGAGCAACTGCACAAACACAAACAACCAGAAACCACACATGCAATCAACCGGTTTCACTCAAAGGCATGGTTGTAATGATGGTTGCAAGATAACTACTGAGTTGGTAGTTCTAAAACCTGGACGAAAAGCATTTTTGAGATCTGAGTTCATAGGTTAAAGGTATAGTCCACCCAAAAATGAAAATTCTGCCAATGATGACAATTTCACCTTCATCAGCATTTGTTTTTGAGTCTACCACTATGCAGACTTCATTTTTGAGTGTGTTTAAATGGTAAGAAATTTTTTATTTTTGTAGGAACTGTCCCTTTAAGAATTTCCTAACTGTATTTTACTGACAATTTTGGATTTATGAGTAGAAGTAAAGGATTTGTTTATTCCAGAATGAACATTTCCTGATGATAAAAAGAAGTATTGACCAAAGCACGTGTGTGGTGTTGTGGATAAACTTGAATCACGACACCAATAAAGGGCGAATAACTTGCATTTCTATGTACATGTGTACACGTATTTGCTGTAGAATCATAATCTGTTTGATTTTTATTTTCTATATAATAGTAAAATAGGATTTTTGTTCCTTAAAACAAGCCACAATTAAAACACTGCTGCATTGGCTGCTTTATTTTGAATTACTTATATGTAAAATGTTTATTTTAAATTGGGAATCTTTTCTGAAAAAAAAAGAGTTTATTTACTAGATTAATTATCCTTTCTTCATGCACTTGCTTAACATTTGATGCTTTATTGTTTATTTTGTGAGTTGTGCATGGACATAAGGGTTTTGCTCAAACCTGTATTGTACAAGCCATTGGTGTATATATATATATATATATATATATATATATATATATATATATATATATATATATATATATATATATATATATATATATATTCATATATTTCCTTATGCTGATGTATAGGCATTTGTAGCTCTACCTTTTTTTTGAAAAGAGCACAGTCACATTTAAATTTAAAGCAACAGTCACCAAAATGGCACAATTAGGATCAAAGCCTAAAAGGGGCAGTTTCAAAGAGTTCTAAATTATTATTTATGGTATTTTGAGATGAAACTTCACATACTAGTGCAGGGGTCACCAATCTCGTTCCTGGAGGTCCGGTGCTGTGCAGAGTTTAGTTCTAATTTGCCTCAACAAGCCTGCCTGGGTGTTTCAAGTACCTATTATGACCTTGATTAGCTTGTTCAGGTGTGTTTGATTAGGGTTGGAGTAAAATCTGCAGCACACCGGACCTCCAGGAATAAGTTTGGTGGTCCCTGCTCTAGAAACATCCGAGACTTATTTTAAAGTTTGTAAAAAGAGAGATAATAGGACGCTTTTTAAACATCATTGCTTTTCATCAGTGGTGAGGTGTGCTTTTTTGTATGTGATGTCTTTCTGATCACAAAAGGTTACACAAAGGACCCAAAGATCTTGACCACAACAATAAAAGTCACGTGCATGAAACCCATGAATAAATTTCCAGGACATTGAGGGAGAAATGTTGCAGATTTAAGGCGATAAAACATAATTGGAGTTAATAAATAGGGATACCAAATGCAAATGATTTGTCTCATTTAAAGGTGTGCTTTAAAGGATGTTGTAGAGCTGCACAATTAATCGAAAAAAGATCGCGATCTAGATTTGACCCTCTAGACGATCTTAATCCAGCATTTCTACGATTCTGCCAATCATATTTTCAAGTTCAGGAGGGAAGCAAAGGCGGCTGCACGAGTCTTTTCATTCTTTCACATACATTGCTCAGCAACATGGACACCTCCAAATGATGTTAAAAGAGTCACATACTGTATTTATAAGGTATAATTTACCTAGAAATGTCCTTTTTGTTTTCATATAATGCTGTATTCGCAGCTGGGAAATCACACATGACGTGAGCTGCTGACGCGCACGCATCTACTTTAGTGAACAGAACATATTATTGTTGTTTTACCATATTTTTGAGAAAAAACAATAATAATTGCAGACTCATTTTAACCTTTTTTTTTACATCTACAAAGAAAATCGTGATCTTTATTTTAAGAAAAAAAATTGCGATTCTTATTTTTGCCAGATTCGTGCAGCTCTAGTGTGTTGCCATGTTGGACACAAGAATTGTGGCAAACATAGTGGAATGTCTTTACTATTAGTAACATATTAAATTATAAAACCGTGATCCTATATGTCTAATAGTTTACACAAAGATTGCACAGAGACTGAGAAGAGTGTTCGCAGAGTGTTAGGATCATAACTGAGATATACTTTAAGCTTTATTGTACAATGCATAGCTAAAATCACAAAGAATTACCTAAAAACCTAAACATTATATTTTTATAGTTACTACCAGCCTCTATCTAGTTTATCAAGATACAGTCAAAGACACAACTGAAGGCATAGTTTACCCAAAAACTAAAATTACCTAATTTATTTGTTCTTGTGTATGTGTGTGTGTGTGTGTGTGTGTGTGTGTGTGTGTGTGTGTGTGTGTGTGTGTGTGTGTTTAACCTTTTCAAGCTTCTTTCTTCTGTTGAACACAAAACAAGATATTTTGAAGAATGTTGATGCTGGCATCCATTGACTTTACTGCATTATTCAAAATGTCATCTTTTTTTCAACATATGAATGAAACTTAGTGGTTTATTTGTAAGCAAATTTCGAGAGGATCACGTGCTTATGATTGTTCACAGCTGTTCCAACTTTAGCTAATGACTAATTATCCTATCAGACGATCCTTAACTCACTATAAATAACCAAACTTTTCTCATCTCAATATCTTCGTCTTGAAGAAACCCCCCCACGCAACCTTACTTTCCCTCCTTTTAAACGGGTGACACGGTGGCCAGTGATTAACGCTGTTGCCTTACAGCAAGAATGCCCCTGGTTTAATTCCCTTTTAAACCAGGTGACATTTTTGTGCGGAGTTTTGCTCATTCTCCCTGTGATCGCATGGGTTTTTCCCCGGTCCTCCGGTTTCCTCCCACAGTTCAAAAGCAAGCACCCTAAACAATTAATCCAAAATATTTTAGCCAAAATCTGAGTACACCTTCTCAGCATACTTATCCGATACTTAGCTACTATAAGCAGGAGCGGGAGTCATCGAGATCTACCTGAGCTCAAACTCCCCTCTTGCCTTGCAACAGGAGGGAGCCCAGGGCTCGAGGATCTTATTAGCTCAGGGCTCTCTCCCGGGACAGCACGCCAAACAACCTTAATTATCCATCATCAGCTAAGTGTGAACTCTTGAAAACAGGTTTTGAACAAGTGAATGCTGAGTAAATGGTGAATTTTAATTTTGGAGTGAATTACGCCTTAGGGGTCTGTTTACCCAGAAACAAACCAACCCACAGAAGTCAATACGTCAATAACATTATAAACTATATGTATTCATTCACTAGAACAGTATTATTGCTTGTCAAAGAGACAATTAAGGCAGATATATATCCAAGAATAGCAACAACAACAAAAAAAAATCAAGACCAAAAAAAAAGAGAGATGTCAGATTTATTGTTAATCGCTGTTGATAGATTCCAACTTATCTTAAAGCCAGAGCATTCATGTAACTAAAAGAAAAAAGATCTTGCCATATACTGCAGTAAACCCCAGAGCGTGATGACTGAGTCATGTGACAGGTCTGAGAGCGGCAGAGCTGGCTCAACTTGTGAAAGTGGATAACTCTGGAGGATTACGGCTGGCCGATGATCCAACACACACACAGAGAGAGAGAAATCCCTGATGATCGCTGTCTAAATGCTCTTATCAGCCTTATCAATTTGACTGATTTGCTTGCCACCTATCAGGAGGACTGTTTGTTTGAGAGACTGACTGTATTCTGTCAATGCCATTTGGGTTTGTTGTCAATGCCATTTTGGGTTTGGAGGTTTGGGTTTATTGTGCGCTCATTTTTGCAATTGTTTTAGAACTTCAGATTCAGTTGCCTATGGGAAAAATGACTAGAAATAATAAACGGCAGAAACGGTCAGACTACTTGCTTTATAAGTGTGTTCATGTGTTCAATAATTGCAACATCTTGCAGAGAGTGGCAGGTTCGATCATAGCCTGGAGCTGGATGGGTGCAATAGCACCAGTGGGTTACATTTGGGGGCTCATCCGGGATGGCAGTGGGGTTTAGGGGGTGAGTGTAATGGAGGCCAGCTAGTGAAGTGCTATACAGGTAAACCTCACTCATCCGACCTCTAAAGGTGCTCTAGTGACAGACGCTAGAGGCCATGGACTTAAGCCTCCTTGGTACAGCAACCTGACTCCCATGTGGAGAGTTGCTGGTTCAATCCCAGATCTGAGGGGGTTTGGGTGGTGTAGGACCGGCAGGGTTACATTAGTGCCGTGACCCAGATGGGAGTGAGGTTCAGGGGGTGAGTGTAGCGACAGATGCTAGAGGCCATGGTCTTTAGCTACCTTGTTAGAGCAACCGACTCCCATGCAGTGAGTCGCCAGTTTGATCCCAGCTCGGAGCAGGTTTTTGTGGTGTAGGACTGGCGGGGTTAATTGGTGCCGTGACCCAGATGGGAGTGAGGTTCAGAGGGGTGAGTGTAATGGAGGCCAGCTAATGAAGTGCTGTGTAGGTAAACCTCACTCCTCTGACCTCTAAAGGTGCTTTAGTGACACTTGCTAGAGGCCATGGTCTTTAGCCTCCTTGTTAGAGCAACCGATACCATGGGGAGAGTCGCCGGTTCGATCCCAGCTCAGTTTGGGTGGTGTAGGACCGGCGGGGTTAAATTGGTGCCATAACCGGGATGGGAGTGAGGTTAAGGGAGGTGAGTGTAATGGAGGACAGCTAGTAAAGTGCTATGCAGGTAAACCTCACTTCTCTAACCTCTAAAGTTGCTCTAGTGACAGATGCTAAAGGCCATGGTCTTTAGCCTCTTTGTTAGAGCAACTGACTCCCATGCGCAGAGTTGCCGGTTTGATCCCAGTTCAGAGTGGGTTGGACGGTGTATAGGACCAGTGGGGTTACACTTGTGTTGTTATTTGGAAAAACTAAAATTAAACAGATTCTGATTCAACAGTTCCATAGAAAAACAAAAACTCTAAAAGAGGGGTTCTGTTGTAATAATTTAGGAGCAAGACAACTGGCCAGTCTCTGAACAATTGAACTTACCGGACAATTTTTTCTGCTCTAATGGACAATGTTTTTTTTTATGAAATACCAACTTTAACTGTATCAGTAAATGGCATGGGATGCAATGTCAACCCACACTGTATGATATTTTATTGTATTTTTGCGGTAAGTAGCAGCACTCTTGCCAGCCATTTACCACTACTCCCCCTTTACAGTAAATTTCATTTACTTGTAAATGTGTTTTACAGTAGCAGGGCTCTACCGCAATTTTATGTGACAGTAGAATAGCCTTATCGCAACTTTTTATGGTAAAATACTTTTTTTCATATTTTAATTTTACAGTATCATTTTACTGTACTTTTACTGTAATTTATTTAGTCTTCATTTTTTTTTTCATTTTCCTTTAGCTTAGTCCCTTATTTATCAGGGGTCACCACAGTGCAATGAACTGCCAACTCTTCCAGCATATGTTTTACGCAGTGGATGCACTTCCAGCCACAACCCAGTACTGGGAATATTTTTAGTATTCACTATTGAATTTAATAAATAATAAAGAGTGACGAAATCATGTTATTATATCTATTTGAAATGGTTTACAAAAGTCATTTTCATTTATCATTTATCATCTATTTTAAATACATTTTGTGATGCAAGAATTTTTTCATCAACTTTCCATTTTTGTCTTCAACTGGCAGTACTTGATTACTTTGATTACAATTAAATACTGCAGATCCTTAATATACAGTAAGTTACCGTAAAAGTACTGAAAACTGGACTGACAGTTTCAATTTACTAGAACTTCTGTTAAGCTGCTTTAACACAATCTACATATTAAAAGCGTTGTAGAAATAACGATGAATTGAATTAAATTTTACAATTACCCACAATGCAGTGCTTATTACAGAAGCACATTGTAAAGAATGTATGTAGTATTATACTGGGTGTTTATGCAGTAAATTACTGTAAAATTGCGACAGTCTAACAGTGGGATATAATACACCATGCTCTTCTGGGAGAAACACTAGGCACTGATGTCTGTGGATGTGCAGGTGGCTTGGAGGATGTGGGCATGGGCTTATTCATTTTTGTAACACAAACTGGAGGTATGCATACATTTGTTAAATGACAGCCAGTTTGAAATGGGTCTCATTCTTTTTTGTTTTCTTTCTTGGTTCTTCAAAGATGCATTAAAGATTAAAGATGCCATGGTTTCATTTTTGTTTTCGCATTGGCGCTGGGAGGGGGAAAATACTTTAGAGCATAGCTCAGCTTTGATTGTGTGATATCCTCATGAGGGGCAACCCAAATTTCTGGCATATCAGAAATTAATCTGACCATCCAGTTGTGGGTTTGGGGGGGGGGGGGGGGATGGGGGTTATTCACCTTTCTTCTCTACTGTATGACTCAGAAATCGACTCAGTGTAAGTTCAGATAAATGTGTAGAACATTTGAATAAACTAATGGAACTTCTTCCACTATAAAAAGCACTTTATTCCACAGAAAGTTTGGAGTTTTAGAACTGTCGACAGCAATAAATAACTTGTTGTTTTCAGTAACTCACAAACAGTCTGCGAATTCCACCGGGGCTTTTACACCAGAGAAAAATTTTCCTTAATTCCAAGAACTGTTAGTTAGAACTACAAGTACTTTTTAGTGTTAGATACTTATTAACAGGATCTAATCCAGCACAATGGGAACTACAGGAACACAGGTGTACTGTTTGAATGTGTGTCTTACAGTAATACAAACCAGAGGAACCTGTTCCACAGTTTTTAAAAAACAATTAACCTGAAGTGCTTGCTTTTTGGTGTTTTTCCACCGCAGTAAATGGGAATGATTTTAGTTCTAGGAATGAGATTTTGGGGAACTAAATTTGCTCCCACAGTATTTGAGAGCAGGGTCTAATCAAGCACAATAGGAACTAAATGATTGCATGTCTTATGTTAAATTAGATCAGAGTAGGCATGGGGCCAGTATAAGATTCTGACGGTATGATAACCGTGGATAAATATATCACGGTTTCATGGTATCATGGTATTGTGATTACTGCTCTAAAATAAATCTTTTTTTCAATGTCTGGGGGGAAAAAATCCCTTTTGAACACAGAGTATTTTATTTTGAGAAACATTTAAAATATTTTGGATCAGTAAACCTGTCAGACTAAAGTAATTATTGAATTTTGCTGTCTTCGTTTGTTTAAAAAAAAAAAAAACAGATTTTGTTTTTACAATTTAAAATGCCATTTTTTCCGTTGGAGATATTCTTGTCCTAATAAAAAATTTAAAAAACGGAAATAAAAAAATCTTACACATATCTTAGGAACGGTATTGCAGAAAATGTTAAAAACCTTTTAAAACCTTGACCTTTCCAAACCGCTGTATACCTTGAAAACAGTTATCACCAGAGGAACCTTTTCCACAGTTCCAGGAACTATTAATCAGAAAATACCTGCATTTTGTGTGATGACGAGTTCTAGGAATGGATTTTGGGGGAACGAAATTATCCTCTACAGTACTCCAGAAGAAAAACTGCTTTTTGGTGTGTTGACACCACAGAAACTGGGACTGATTTCAGTGCTAGGAAGGGAATTTTGCAGAACTAAATTTGCTCTCACAGTACTTCCCACACCGTAGGAACTACATGAATGCATGTCTTACGCTAATACAAACCAAAGGAACCTTATCCCCATTTCCAGGAACTATTAAGTAAAAATACCTGCTTTTTGGTGTGTTGACCACAGGAACTGGGAATGATTTTAGTTCTAGGAATGGTATTTGGGGGAACTAAATTTGCTCCCACAGCACTTCAGAACAGGATATAATCCAGAACTATAGGAACTACATGAATGCATGTCTTACGCTAATACAAACCAGAGGAACTTTTTTCCTCAGTTCCAGGAACTATTAAGTAGAAAATTCCTGCTATTGGTGTGTTGACATCACAGCAACTGAGAATGATTTTAATTCTGGGAATGGAATTTGGGGGAACGAAATTTTCCACTACAGTACTTCAGATCAGGGTCTAATCCAGAACTATAGGAACTACATGAATGCATGTCTTATACTAATACAGGGGTCACCAAACTTGTTCCTGGAGGGCCGGTGTCCTACAGATCTTAGCTCCAACCCTAATCGAACACACCTGAACGAACTAATTAAGGTCTTACTAGATATACTTGAAACATCCAGGCAGGTGTGCTGAAGCAAGTTGGAGCTAAACCCTGCAGGGACACCGGCCCTCCAGGACCGAGATTGGTGACCCCTGTACTAATACGAACCAGAGGAACCTTTTCCGCAGTTCCAAGAACTATTAAGCAGAAAATACCTATTAAGAACTATTAAGCAGAAAAAAAAACACTTTTTTTGTGTGTGTTGACACCACAGAACCTGAGAATGGTTTTACTTTTAAGAATGGCATTTAGGGGGAACTAAATTAGCTCCTACTTAGGAGTAAGGTCTAATCCAGCACAATAGGAACTACAATGACACAAGTGTGCACTAACTGGTTCAATGCATGTCTTCTGGTAATACTGCACCAGAGTATTGTAAAGCATTACAAAACATTCATATTCAGAATTAGTGACATTTACCTGCTGCTTTTCTTTGAAATTGTGCACTCCTTCTAAATAACTTATGTTTACATTCCACCTCCATTAAATGATGCACAAAACACACAATGAATATCTATTTCCTCAATCCTGTAGTTCCTCATTTTGTCAAATGCAACATTTGATTCGACTTTCAGGGTTTAGAGTTTCTAAGGGTTATGCAAATGCAACCAGCAAAATGATCTGAGGGAAAGTTAGTTCTCAGGGAACTGAGTCTGTTGGCTAGTGCCTATAGGTGCAAAAAAACCCAATGCATTGAATAAATTCAAACCCAGTGTAAGATTTTTAGGAAATGGTGATTCATTGGACGTTCAGACAAGCTTTTACAGTAGGTGTTGGTTTTTGTCGCTGATTAGGAGATGAAGGTGTTGGAAGTGCGGGTTAAAACAGGATAATTAGTCAGGGGGCAGGGAACACTGTGATCACTAAGTTCATCCGCCTCTAATGCTCCTTGCGGTGCCAAAGTGTGATGACAATTACACGCACCAAGCCTCACGAGCAGGATTAAGGTGTCTCCCTGGAGTTGTGTTGCTCAGAGGATTTGAGAAAATCCTCAGAACAAAATTTGATGAACTATAGCTCGTCACCAAAAACAATCATTATGCATTATTCTTGATTAATACTCAGCTAATGACTTTCTCAAGCCTAGTTTGATTGTTGTTGTGCTAGTAGTTGCTGGTGGGTGGTTGTGCAGTACAGTAGTCAAGGGCATTATTCTTACCACTTTCAGTTCTGATGCAGAAGCGATGCTTGAAGCCCTTGTGGGAGTGGGAGCAGGTGATGATTTCGGGCCTGGAACAGCCTACGTCCACATACCTCTGGTTATGCACAATGTTACAAGCATAACACTGCAGCCCGTCGGCTATAAAGAAGAAAGCAGATATTTTGTTTTCAATCTGAGCAATGGAGAACTCTGAAAAATATGAGCAAAAGCAGCCTGTTTGTATTGAAAAAAATGTGGAGTATTTCTTCTTTCACCATTAGTTTCTCAGTGATTTCACCCATGGCTCCGCATAAAGCAGAGATGAGGTTATAGCAGCTGAGATTGAATTCAGCCCTGAGGTTTTAAGTCACTCAGCCATGTGCTCTGTTTATACACATGGGTTTAGCTGTACCGTGCCTTCGGCAACACTATGACAGGTGGTTGTTAGGCTAATATACTGCTACTCTTTGCTAATGTTATGTTTAAAGGGTAGTGCAGTATTCACGATTAATAAAACACCTCGGAAAGTGTAAATCATTTACATTAACAAAGAAAAAGCATTCGCTTGCATGCATTATTTACACATTTTTGAGTCCCTGATGTTTTGAAGGATTTGCAGTGACACGCGATCTGTATCTGTCGTCGTGCTTTGACACTATCCAGTAGAAATCTGCATATTGTATGTAGTGTTTCTGACAGATTGTTGGCTTTTCTTTGTGTATGGTAATTTATCATTTCTGGTAATGCAATCTTGTCCTTTTTAAAAGGCAAAGTTCATCTGGTGGCGGTGGTTCACTTTATGTAACCCCCTCACTAGGAATGCCTTCCGACAGAAATGTTGAATTTGCATGTAAGATTAGATCTAAATGAGGCTAGCGAGCTTCATGGGGCGACACTGCAAGCAAACAATGATATTTGAATTCATTATTCTTGTGTAGTGCTGATGTGTTTGATGAAAGTATTGCTACGCAAAGTGTCAAATACAAAAAGAAAATGTGTTTGTCTGACAGTAATACAGTAATACAAATGGAGGGAAACATGCATGTACATTGGTGAAGTTATTTGGTCCAGATATTTGCTATAAAACACAAAAACCTTGGAAAACAGTGTAAAAAAGCTTTCTGAAACTATCTATAATTTTAAATACAGTAAAATGTAAATAACAATACAGGACAACCTTTAAATTTTAGATTGAAACAATTTTTTTTAATAAACCAGTAATCCCAACATTTATTTTATGCTTGATCTATATAAATTATAGGTATAAAATGTATGTAAAAAATTATATACTGTATGTATGTTTGTGTGTGTGTGTGGTCATGTGATGTGCGCTTTCAGCTGTATAATGTTGGAAGGAGGTCTTTTCAGAAGTGCTAGGTGAAACGCCAGTGTAGACGTGAATCGTTTTCGTTCTAATGCCATTTTAAAACGAAGACGTATTAGAAGTATTATAAGTTTTGAGAGACAGCACGTCAGTGACCATTGGCCTGTCTTTGAGCAAAGACAATTGATGTTTGTCCACAAGATGGCGACAGAGACCTCTTAATGAGCCCTGAGAGAAAAACACTGTAATTTCAAATTACAGCTGATCAAATCATTAATTAACTGGTAAATGACTTTCTAAGTCAATTTCTCTCTTTTGTATGTTGTAGGGCTTTATTTTTATACCATAGTAATATTGTGATCTCCAGATTACAACAGAGACATACTGGGAGATATCTTTGTAGACTGATGGCATTTCATGCCATTCAGCCTTAAAAATGTCAACAAAATCAATTAGAGACATTACGCTAGAGAATCATTCAAACACTAGCTCAAAAATGATGTTGGTGAATTAGTAACGGCTTCTGCGGTTCTGTTGTCAGCTCTAGTTGTGAATGAGTGGCGGAAGAAAGTAGTTCCTCTTACAAAAGGGTTTTAAGACGCTCCGTGTGTGATTTTCTTTTTTATACACACGATAATGCCGTCAAACTGTTGTATAAATGCAATATCACACTAGTAGCAGTGCAATGTTGATGCATTTCGTCACTAGTGACGATCATCCATAAAATGGCGTCACTGGTGACAATATACATACACACACACAAACACACAGGCAATAGCAAGTACATATGCAGTGTATTGTACAGTTTTTCCACACACACACACACACACACACACACACACACACACACACACACACACACACACACACACACATATATATATATATATATATATGTGTGTGTGTATGTATATGTATATATGTATATATATATATATATATATATATATATATATATATATATATATATATGTGTATATATATTGTTAGATTTACATGCAAGCATACATAGATTTTTCATAAATCAAGCAGAAATTTTGTTTTCATTAGACAGACATACACACTTGCACACATGAATTATATAATGTTTGTTTATGAATACAAAAATGTACTACATTTATAATTACATGTTACTTTACTTTACAACATCCTTGATGCACTGTAACATCATAAACTTGCTATATAGTTAGTATGATACATAGTAGTATTTAAGTATGCATAATGTATTCTTATTGCCATAGTAAGTGCATGCATCTTGCAAAACATGGATGCCATAATAAAGTGCTACTATTCCTTTATAATTGAATAGTTACTTGTTTATTTATATGTTGACTGACACTCATGCACCTGCACACACACAAACACACACACACACACCTACCTTGCAACATGAAAAGTGTCAGCAATGCCAAGAAATAATAGAGTCCATATCCATGCAGCGTGTGCGTATGGAGAGTCATGGGTGCAGCTCGAGGAAAGTCGCCCAGGGCTGAGCTATGAAAGGGCTGCTAGTGAGAGGAATCCTCCTGGGAGTCCGGCTCTTTCAGCGTGAGCCACCAGCCTCCAACAAAACACTCACTCTGCTACTCCAAAAGAAAAAGGGGAGGGGCATGATATCAAGTAGAAAAGAAAACCCAGAATCAATAATGAGACTTTACGAATATAGGCTACTTCAAAATAAAGTGTCCCAGCTTTCTTCCATCCTCCCATAAGCCCTAGAGAGGGAGCCTGGCAGAAGCACACAGTCTGCCTGAGACCCTCTGCTGGATCAGAGGTAATTTGCTCATTGATAATCCCAAAGCCCCAGATAAACATTTTCACGCCCAGTCTCTCGCTGTGACAGAAGAGTCCGCCTCGATGCTCTTATGTGCGTGTGGTATTAATGCGTCTGAGTCTTCGGGCCACACTGCGTTTAATGAAAATTTAAGAAGCAAAGTGTCACCCGGAAAGTGATGTTTAATGAAGGAGTGGGTGGGTTTTCTGGGACCAACACAGACACAAATCAAAAGCGCCTGCTGTGCTTTGAAGGGTCCAATCAGTCTCAGAAGTGACCTGAAGCGCTTTGATATATACACACTCTTAGGAAAAAATGACTATAAACAGTATCAAATTAGGGTTCTTCTGCTTTTACCGATAGCAGAACTCTTTTTCGTGAGGTTCCATAATAGAATTTGCTTTTAAGGTGCTATTTAAGACCATAAAATTATTTGAAATAAAATTCTCATTTATATTAGTATAATTATTATTTTTTTTACAAATATTTCTTCATTATATTATTATTATTATTATTATTATTATTATTATTGTTTTTGTTATTAATATTAGAGTAGTATTTCCAAAAAAGTAAAAGAAAAAAATTATATGCTGTAAAAAGGCGATGTACCACCATAATTGTTTTTATATAACATTTTTATTATTAGTAATTTGATTATTAATTATTTTAAAATATTTTGATTTATGTCTAATTAATTAATTATTTATTAATTTATTTATTACTATTATTATTACTGTTGTTGTTGTAAAATTCAAACAAACTAAAAGAAAAAAATGCTGAAAGTTCTGTGCATCACTATAAAATATATTTTTATATTATTTTTATTAGTAGTATATTTATTAACTTTTTACAAATGTTTTAATTAATTAATAACAATAATAGTCATTTATTATTATTATTATTATTATTATTATTATTATTATTATCATTATTATTATTATTATGTTGTAATTGTTGATGTAACGTTTCCAACTAAACTAAAAGAAAACAAATACTTTGAAAGTGCTGTGTTGGACCATAAAATAGTAATTAATTCTTTAAACATATTACTTAATTGATGTTTAATTTATTATTAATAATAATAATAATCATTATTATTATTATTGTTGTTGTTGATGTTGGCGGTTCATTCTGCTGTGGCAACTCGGGAATAATAAATGGACTAAGCCGACAAGAAAATGAGTGAATGAATTGTATTTCTGTCTCGTTATTGAAAAGAAATCATGTTCTTAAAACATTTCTCTAATGTGACTGTGAGAATGTTGTTACTTTGGTTTTATGAAACATTGTGAAAACGTTTTCTAATAGAACATTGTTTAATATGATCCCTTACCAACATTTTTAAAACATTGCTAGAATGTTCTTGTTCATTGTTTTGGGAAAAGACATTCATTGGATATTACATTGAAATGTTCTCTTTAAAACATTAACAGAACCTTTTAGGTAATGTTAGCCAAAGTTGAGAGGACGTTCCCTGGGATACCACATTAAATTCAAAATTCTCCTTCTTGCATTTTAGATCCTTAAATGGCCTAGCTCCCTCTTATCATTGCAACATGCTTGCCCCCTACACCCCAATTTTCTCATTACGTTTTGCTGACTCTGGCCTTCTCGCTGTCCCTCGGTACCACCTCTCTTCAATGGGGGGGCAGATCATTTAGTGTTATTGCACCCAAACTCTGGAACTCACTCCCTTTGTTCAGCTAATAATATCTCAGAATTCAAATCTTTACTTAAAACTCACTTATTTTCTGAATGCTTCACTTCTGATCTGACAAACTGACCACTTTATCTGTTCCACCTGCACTTTGCTCATTTGTCTCTTAGGTATTGTTTTTGTATTTCATTTGTTATATTTGACTGCCTGTATGTTTGTGTATCTAATGCTGTCTCTACATTTATCTGCTTATACTATCTCTTTTTGTCGCATTCTTTGCAAAGTGTCCTTAAACTCTGGAAAGGCGCTATATAAATAAAAATTATTATTATTTATTATTATATGCTGGATATGCTGGTGGCGACCCCTGATTAATTAAAGGACTAAGCGAAAAAGCAAATGAATGAATGAATGAATGAATGTCTTACTAGTGGAGAAGAGTAGAGTGTTTCCTCAAATGAGTAGAACTGGGCCCACATGCTCTGCTAATCTAAAAACAGGAGAGAGAAAAAAACATGTTTGTTAAGAAACAACCACAATTTTAAACTTTAAAAGCTATAGAGATTTAAATAAAGAGCAAATTTACCTGTTGAGAGAGTGTTGACAGTCTGTTTAGTAGATAGTTGAGCTCCAGATAACCAGTAACAAGACGTTTTGTCAGTTACAGATTTGAAAAGCAAAAAGGCGGGAAATAAAGAAGGCTAACCACACAGCGTAAAATGGCTCTTCAGGACCATATGGTTTCAAATAGAACTGTTACTATGTTCAAAAAAACCTTTTGAAGAACTGATATCCCTCTCTCTGGCTTCTTCTGGCGCTCTTTCTATCTACAGTAGTTCGTTTAAGAGTTTTTTTCCTTCGTGACACCGGCTGGTGGGATCAAGAGAGTCGAGGTGTTTTGGCATGTGTTATGTGTAGTGCATCTAAATGGGGAACTGGTGAGGATGACATTAATATTCATGTGCATTAACACGTTTCAGTTAAAGGAGGTGTTCGTGTGAATTGTTTTATATTTACTCCTTTTCCTGCTCACAGTCGTATAAGCAGAGCTACATTTAACTTTTTTTTGCCCAAATGCACCCGAAGAAAAATTCGAGTATACAGTAGTTGCCAGAGGGTTTTGGTATGGTTGCTAGGGTCTACTGGGACAGTTTATAGGTGGCTATGTTGTTTGCTGCCCAAGTCAAAGAGTTTAAAATGTACATCTCTTCTCAAAAATAAAATTTGTTGCTAAATTGTTTTAAATATTCTGGTTATTTCCAGTCATAAACATATTTAGAGTATCAAATTGTCAGTGAGGACTCAGACACATTTTAATTGTATAGCACCATAGATATATACACTAGATATCGCATAGGGACCCTGAGCATGCGTCAATAGCGCCGCCACATTGGTACAGTACTCCCAGGACAAATGTCATTCAACCGCACTAGTCAAGACAGTGTTATTACGTGAAGATGCGGGACTTTAGCGCTGTCTACGGGTGTAGTAACGAGCAAACAAAGAAAACAAAGCATAAAGGCCGAACATTTCATAGGTAATATTATGTTTTTTCTCTTTCTGTATGTTCTGAACTTTTGTGCTAATCGGGTAACGTTATTGATGATAACAGTCACTTACTGAATTCACCATACGGCAAATGAGAAGTGAAAAAATTATAATTTTCGTAATTAGAAAAAAAATTACATACTAACATCCAGGAAAACTCCCGATCATAGATATATGTGTTTATGTGTATATCTCTGGCTTTGCATGGCCACAGTCCTCCACTGTACCTTGGTCCCGCATTCATTTCAAAGGAGCGCTACCCTGTAGCAAGATGGCGGCGCTATTCACGCATTCCGTCCAATAGACAACAATAGGCCAGGCGACATCTAGTGTATATATCTATGGTATAGCACTAACAGTCACAAATCATATAGTTTCAAATCAGCTAAACAGAAGATATATTTGTTATCAGCAATGACTTGTCTGTAGGGCAAAAATGGGCAGTTAAAAATCATACAAGTCCTACAGTTTAATTTCATTTTATTATTTAAGAAAAGAAAAACTGAAAATCGTAAAGGGCACCTATTTTACCCCTTTTTTCAAGATTTTGTGTCTCCAGAATGTGTCTGTAAAATTTCAGCTCAAAACACCCATCAGATTATTTATTGTAGCTTTCAGAATATTAGAATTGTCTTCTCTGAACACAATGAAGCTGTTTTTGTTGCCTGTGCCTTTAATAATCAGGACAAAATCATGGTGGCAGACCATCAGGCCACCTGTAAATGTCCCGGTGCTCCCTATGACAAGTCTGCCCCTGCCTATATCATATTGCGGTGGGCCTCTTAATGTGAGGGATTTGGATCATATTTTCACATCAGGAAATAAAAAAAGAGACTTATTGTCTTTAAATCACCCCAGTATGAATGAGCACACACTATACAGTGCCTAGACACAGTTCTGTCCGAACAGCTTACAAAAGATGATTTTCATCATAGGTGCCCTGTAAGACATTGATTACTTTCTGCGATAATTATCCCTTTTCGACGTAATAAACCAGGGTTTGAATACACCTTATTGTAAACCCATTTTTGGATTTATTTTCTTCTCATCACAAAGGCTTTCATTTGGAAAAAAAAATAATAATAATAAAATCTTGTTAAAAAGTGTCAATTAAAGTAATGGGCATGTAATAAAGTATTATGGGTTAGGATAGGGTTAGGGCTTGGGTAGGTTGGTGTAGAAATAGTTTTATTTTCCCTTTAAGACAATATAAATATGATAAGTTTTCTAATTTACACTCAGTAGGGCATCATTACATAATATATGTTGACGTGCAACTATTTGCCATAATTTCCCTTAAAGCATAGGTGTCAAACTCAATTCCGGGAGGGCCACTGCTCTGTATATTTTTGCTATAACTCTGATCAAACACAGCTGTTCCAAATAATAAAGCTGTTCATGACTCCCAGCTCCCAGCTGTGTGTGTAATCAGAGGAGAACAGGAACAGGTGTGTGCGTGTGGTGCATGACAGGATTTGTAGTTTCTTATGGAGACAGGATTGTAGTCCGATGTGATAGTGAATGTTCTAGAGCAATCTATAACGGTAAGGGTAAGACTGCTGGTGATCGTGACAGGTGTAAACCCAGCCGTGTTGGCCAATCAAAAAGAAAAAAAACAGCACACATTGATGTCATTAGGCAAGAACTCCAGTTGTAGTGTCCACACAACAACACTGTACCTGGAGTATAAAAATATTCTACATCCTGGCCAGAGTTTTCAGAAAGTTTTGGTTCCAATCACCCGATACATCAATACTCAATTTTTCACTAAAACTTTGTTGAGATCTCAGTAAGGCGCTTTAGTAAGAAAATACTACTTCCGCCTGCAGCAACAGCACAGAGATGAAGAATGCGTGAGCGGAGGCTGAAAGGGTCTTCGTCTTCACTCCTACTCTGTTTGGCAAGATCCAGAAGTGCAGAGATTAACTCTGCAGATGAGGAACAGCTCCAGGCTTAGCTCTGGGTTACACATAATTGCTCATAATAGCTCTGTGTGAGTCTGTTGTTATTCAGGACAGCAGAGAAGTGAGTGACAAGCGCTCGCTGCCGGATTCTCAATCCTTCATGCTGTGACAGCAGAGGCACCAGCCCAAAAATACTAGAGAAATCACAAGAACACAAAAGCATGAAATTTTCATCTCGCTCCACGGATCCAAAAAGACAAGCCTT